TCAGTCCCAAGAGCGAACAACCACAAAAACAAAGAGCACAAACAAAAGCCTTCCCTCCCCCAAGATTTGAAAGTATCTTGTCCCCTTATTGGTCCTTTGGGTCAGGTGTCAGCCAGGTTACCTGAGCTTCTTAACCCTTTACAGGTAAAAGGATTTTGGAGTCTCTGGCCAGGAGGGATTTTATAGTATTGTACACAGGAGGGCTGTTACCCTTCCATTTATAGTTATGACCGCTCCGTACACAGCCTAGCACACTTGTGCATGCAATATGGAATAATAAATGAGAACAGTGTGATGGGAATGATGCATGATACGTTTTAGTTTATAAAAGAAATGGCAAAATATTGGATTCTTGATTAATGATCCTGGTTAAGTGGAGGAGCAAATGTTATGATGAAACTGAGACTCTTTGTAATTATTTGCAGACAGATTACCACTATGAATACACAGAATGCGATAGCAGTGGATCCAGGTGGAGGGTGGCTGTCCCAAATCAGTCGGCGGCGTGCTCTGGATTACCCGACCCCATGAAAGGAAAAGAATGCAGTACGTTTGCACTTTTCATTTAACATTTTGTCTTTATTAGTAATGCATATTATTTCCCTGATTTAATGTTACTGCACTGGCATAAACCATCGGCACTGGTTAATTATCAGTTAGAAAGGCAATGTGGGCTATTGGATAGTGCACTGGAGTGGGATTCAGGAGATGGGTGCTATTTCTAGCTCTCCCACTGACCTCTTATGTGATCTTGAATAAGTCATTTCCCCTCTCACTGTTTTGTTTCCCTTCCCATCCTGTCTTGTTTATTTAGACTGTAGGACAGGGACTGTCTTTTACTATGTGTAACCCACAGATGAGTATGTGGTACACATTCCCCTCTGTGCTGATCTATAGAGATTATATGAGTCTGTCACAGTACCACTTAGGCAACCACAGCTCTGTAGCTCATGCTTCTGTGCAGGCTCCTGTTTAATACATTTAGGACTCTTCTCCACTGGATTATCTCCCTCCCTCCCTCCTGGAGCATTGCTGCTAGGATCATAAGGCAACTCAACCAGGTTGGGAACCAGCTGGATATGCCACTTGTTTTCCCCTTTTTTCCTCTGCTGAGTACTTCAGTCAGTCTCAGCTTTACAGGATCTCAGGATGCCGCTCCGTTCAGTGAGAACAGCTGGTATTGCCCAATTTTTGTGTTCATTTGGTTTTCTCTGTGGTAGATCTCCTGGTTTAACTTTGACAAACTTCTGACTGAATTCTGATGGTTAAAGACTTCTTAGATTTGGCACCTCTTGGACACGCATCCTTTAAGGATAAGGCTAGTTAAGCTCTGGAATAGATTTCCAAGGGAGATTGTGGAATCCCCATCATTGGAAGTTTTAAAGAACAGGTTAGACAAACACTTGTCAGGGAAGGTCTATGTTTACTTGGTCCTGCCTGAGTGCAGGGGATTGGACTAGATGACCTCTCGAGGTCCCTTCCAGTCCTACATTTCTATGAGTCTGTAAGTAGAATTTCAACACATCTCGAAAAGTAATCAGTGGCTTTTAGATAGGGATGACCCCTCTCTTCACACAGGTCTAGTGCTATTCTTTCCCAAGACCTGTACAAAAAATACTGTAACGAGGAGAAAGTCACGCTGTGTCTTTCTGGACATTCTACAAAGTTAGTGTAACCTACAGGGGAGGTAAGTAAATTTGCTTACCAATTCTGTGCTACAGAACTCCTCTGACAAAGTATTTGCAGAGACCTGGAATTCATAGCTTTGTGAGAAACTACAGCTGGATTTTTCTATAAGAACCTTTTAAATACTAAAAGTGGAAATTATAATGGTGTTCACTTTGTTTTTCTTCTTATGAATCCAGTACCAGTCTTTATCAGAATTCAGTTACTTACTTATACACCCACCCACCCACTTCTTTTTACTGAATAACACTCCAAAGATAAATTATTACAGCACTGCAGTTACAATGCAGCCTAGCTAAACTAACATCACTAACTAGAGTTTTTTTATTTTCCTTTAAAATGAAGTATATAACACAGGGCCCAAACCCTATTTAAATCTCACAAAACAGTTCAGAGATTGGGACTTGACAATCAGAGATCTTCTGCTTTTGTAATGCCGACAAACCCCCTTTGTTGGCGGGCGGGATCGAACCTGGGACCTCTGGAGTTTAGTGCATGAGCCTCTCCTGCATGAGCTAAAAGCCAACTGGCTGTTAAGAAACTCATTAATCTCTCTTTCTCTAAGTGGTCTTGGCGCCACTAGATTGGACAGAACACCACTCCCAGGAGGTGTGTGGGTTACATACTTCCCCTAGCTGAGGAAGCACACCCCGAGCTTGAGATTTCTCAGTTGAAATCCCGGATGAGCCTCCACTTGTAACACTGACAGACCCCGGTCGTCAGGATTGAACTGGGGACCTCTGGAGCTTAGTGTATGAGCCTCTACTGCATGAGCTAAAAGCCAACAGCTTGTTAGGTAAGGCTGTAGAGCAAATCTCTCACTCACTCACACACCCAGGGAGTGTGTGGGTTACACTTTCACATGGGCTCACCCATTTACAACTAGATAAAACATTTAGTTGTACCACATAACCAGTTGTTTTAGCATCCATGATATTGAGCACAAACACAACTCTGAATAAGAAAAAACGGACAATTACTGTAGCTGTTAGGCTGGCAGGTTGTCTTTGGTTCAATGATGTAATATAGCTCACGAAGACATTTGGCCTCCAGTCTGCGATTCCTCCTTTACGGTGTTTTCTCAATCCCAATGAGTTTTGTAAAATTACAGGAAACTGTATTGAGATCCAGCCTACAGATTCAGTCTGGTTATCCAGGGCAGCCCTATCTTCTCTCTGCAGGGCAGGGCTGGATCTGACTGGTGCTCAAATGGCTGACAGTTTTCTACCCTTGATTGAACTCGCTACTGATTGGCAAGGAGCTTCCAGCTTCTAACTAAGGGGAGCGTGTGTGTACATTCAGGAACGTCTGCCCTTAAACACACAGCTTCAACACAGCTATTGAACATGGTTAATCACTTCCTTCACCCCGCTAGTGTACTGAAATAACACCTGCTTATTTGCAGCCACTCAAGGCTCCATACTGCCACCTTGTCTGGGGATGGTTCCATATCAACTCAGAGCAGCTGTAATTACTGCTATGAGGTTTTTGGCTCAACAACAGAGAATAGCAGGATTCCATTTTAGCTCCTGCCCTATGCTGGGCCAGCACATTGACATTTGGGCTCCTTCCTGCCATTTTGTGGAGTCCCTTGCATATCCCTTCGACTGTGTCATACTGCAATGGCCATGGGACTATAATTAAATTACTGTAGGTGACTCAGGTTCAGAGAACTCCCCTCCCATTGCTCGAAAGTCATGCACTGCGTCTGGGACCCCTGATAGGTGACTGAGCCAGCCGTGTCTGATACACAACAGCAACCTGTTTCCAAGAGTATCAGCGGTAGTGGCTGTCTTCATTGGTTCTGATTTATGCAGTGAGGCTGGCAGACTATTCAATGGAACCCCAGTGCCTGTGGCACGACTCAGTGTGTGCTCCTGTATCATCCCGGCTCAAATTCAGGACCATGAGGAGTGCATAGCTCAGAATATCCTGGATTCCCACATATGCAGAGGAGCACTGTATTATCTGATTGACTGGGAAGGTTACGGGCCTGAAGAATGTTCTTGGGAGCCAGTCCATCATGTTCATGCCCCTCCAAAAGTATGGACCTTCCACAAGGATCACCCTGAAAAACCTGGTCCCAAGGGACTGTCAGGGACCACAGGTCTCAAACACAGGCCCCGAAGCAGGAGCTTTACTGTTTATGCCACTGTGCTGCAATGCCAACCAGGGAAACCGTAGATGATACCCTGCAAACAGAGACTACACCCGCTGCTTCAGTGGGATCAGCTGACTAATAGCTTACTGCTGATTGGTCACCTCCTAATATTAAGCTTCCTGTTCCTGCCAGACCACTTGTCTGAGCAACTAGTGGCTCGGCCTGCTGCTGACCAGATGCCCCAAGACCAAGTTCCTATCTCCTTGCCTGGTTCCTCCTCCTTGTTCCTGTTACTTCACCTTGCTCCATGATCCTGTTCCTTCATACTGACCTCAGTTATTGACTATGGCTTTGACTCTTGGTGTGACTTCTGATTCTGGTTTGACCCTTGGTGTGACTCTTGTCCACGGCCCTGACTCTTTTCTCTGAGCTTCGACGGTTATATCAGACTGCCCACAAACAGCCCCTGACACTCACTGCTAAGAAACACTCCCTAGGCACCTGACCATCTGGCTTCCTACTAGACCTTTAAAGTTGCATTATGCCTATCCTCCCAGGGACTAGTTAGGTATAAGGGCTTGCAGGCAAAGACCTTTAATTAGTAAAAATATATTGGTTTTCTGCATATTGTTTGAACCTTTCCAGTCCTCCTTTTTGATATGGAGCGCACTTTGCTTATTTTTTGGCTCCTGATTTTTAACTTATCATTTAATTATATCTAGATCTCATTCTGAATCGGATAGCATGGCAAGAACTTTGCTAATAAGAATGGCTAGCACTCAGGGCAGCCTGATTTATTGTTTTTTTAAAATGTAGAATATTTATCTCTATCAGCAACTGAAGTAGTTTGCCTTTTGGGCTGGCCTTTTGCCTGTACCTCCAGTACTGCTACAAGCTTCAATTTCTCCTGGAAACCCTCAGTTTGTCTATGCAGTGAATTATGGGGCTCTCCGTGAGCACGGAGCGGGGCGCTGGATTTGTCCCTATGGGCCAAATTGGGAGTATTGACATTAATGGGAGTATTGCATTTTATTTCAGTGGGAGCAGAATTGGGCCTTTTGCCAACTGTAACGTCATGTAATACATTTGTATAATATGACTTAATCCTGACTATAGACCATCTAGCCATACATCTTATACGGCTCACATCAGCCTAGTCATGTGAATGCCTAACCTAGACTTTGAAGCTGTCAGTGATGTGAGTAGTTCCACTGACATACCTGTGTGAATAGCTGCTCACCGGTGAGGGAGTAAACGGTTCACATTCTGACATTTAATTATTTTTAACATTAAACCTTTCATTCAATAAAGCAATAAGCACCTTATTATGCTGCCCTAAGTCGCAGTAGGTAGTTTCTTCTTGCAGGAATAGTTCCACTGATCTCAGTGGAACTGTAGGCAGCATTGGGTACTGTTCAACCTGAGTAAGCATGGCAAAATGGGACCCTGACAAAAGCAGTGGATTTCACTTTATTTAGGAAGGCAAAGTTTAGTAAAGTCATCGGTCGCAGCTAGCATCCAAAGGCCACTTACAATGAGCTGTTTTTTTTCTTTTTTTTTTATAAAGTGGTGCACAAACAATGTTAATTGTTTAAGTGACTTTAACTTAGACAATAGAAAAGAAAATTGATTGTAGACCTAGTAACAGAAAAGAATTTGATCAAATGCAGTCCACTGAAGTTGTTGACAAATTGGGCCAAATTCTGTGCTCACTTAACCCCAGAAAGGCTGAAATAACTCCAAAGTCAATGGTATGATT